AGTTTTTAGAGGAGGAAAATCCGTAGGCATGCCACCCGTAGGCATTCCCTCCATAACACGCACAGACATTTCCCCTTACATTGGAAAAAAATTGGACACTTCTTTCAAAATCATCCTCAGATTGATGTCAAGGTTTTGCATGCCTGGTGTAACGTCTACAAAGCTATGTCGTGCTTAACTCCTTCAAACATTCTTCTGGCTGCCGCAACAGCTTCTTCGCCCGCCCTCCCAGCTCCCGCTTTGCCTGCCTCAAACCTACCTCCTAAACCGCCGGACATTTTCCCTTCGGCTCCTCCTGTCGTCCCTCCTCTGCATTCTTCGCATTCAGCACCCCCCGCTGTTCCACCTCCTCCGCCCAAGGCATCTGGCACCGCTTCCACCCCACTTCAAGAATCTCTCCGTGCCGCTGCTCCGTTGTTGGCTTTTGATTCTACAACTCCTAATCTTTTTCCTGTGAGTGTTACTGCCGCCCCAGGGGGAGGCCCAGCCCGGCACGAACAGTTTGATTTGAGATTCATAAAGGAACTGTATTCCTCTGTCAAGGACAATGGCTTGCAATCTCCTTACACCCTGGGCTTGTTTGGCACTATTTTTCAACAAAATTTGATACCAGAGGATGTTAAGCTGTTGGCCCGCACTGTAATGCAGCCTCATCAAATGATTTTGTTTATACAAGCTTGGCACTGGGCCTGCCAACGTCGTGCTGATGGGATTCGGAATAATCTTAATAATGTTGCATTGGCTAATCATCAGGCTGCTTTGGCTGCTGCCGCTGCTGGTGCCGCACCACCGCCACCCCCCGTCATGTTAACCCAAGCTGATGTCCTCGATGGGTTAACGGGAGGAGGCAGTTTTCTTACTATTGCCCAACAGTTGGCCCTTGATCCCATGTATTGGACAGCTACTACTGCTGCCGCCCAAGAAGCTTTGTCCTCTGTTCCTGATGACAAGAATGAGCGCGGTGGCAGCATCAGACAGGGTCCTACAAAGCCCTATGGACAATTTGTCGATCGCTTGGATAACACTCTTAAGCGGCAAGTTCAGGACGTAGCAGCCCAAGAACTGATTATCCGCCAGCTTGCGTTTGATAATGAGAATGAGGACTGTAAGCAAGCGCTGCGCCCTTTGATGACAACATCAAATATAGCCATTGCAGATATGCTTAAAGCCTGCCAGTCAGTGGGCACTGAGATGCATAAAGCTCGCCTGCTAGCCATGGCTTTGTCCTCCACCGTGCCCCAGAATCCTGCAAAGGATAAAACCTGCTTTGGATGTAGCAAAGTGGACCATTTTCGTGCGCAGTGCAGATCTACCGCACAGCAATGTCACTCCAGCACAAAGTGCCCCGTCTTTGATACAGGCCAGGACGTGTCAATTTTCTGAAGCACATCTTAGATCACATATTGGTCACCCTGGTTATTTGGCAACAGGAATTTTACGCCTGCTGAACTTCATTTCTGGAAGGAAGAAATATTGCAGTGTCCTTTAGTGTCTTACAGGTTGCTTCCAGATCCACAGTGGAAGGGTCCAACTTCTTTGATTTCTTGCGTTCGACCTTGGCGCTCTTCTGTTGCCTCGTCTTCGCCCAAGGAGACACCAGCACCTTGAAACCGTATTTTACGCTGTCTGCCAGTGATGACCTCCCACCTAATCTCAACCTGCACTGCAGTTGGAGACATCGCCATATTGATGTGCCCTGGATAAAGTCACCTTACACAGCTGTTCCAGTGTTTCCTGGCACGTTGAAAGGCCATCTTCAACCCTATCGCGTTGGCCCCCCTTCCCCCTGGGAAGCCACCGTTTCTACCACTTATCGTTACAGTTTCTAGGAGGAAAAAAGTGAGTGTTATGGTGCAAAAAATACGGTATTTAAAACAAACATTATGGCTGTAGTTTCTAAAACTTTCCACCTGCGGGGAACACCTTCTTAATCAGGCTGAATTCTCAACTCAAATAATGTTTGCTTTCTGGAGTTCATTTTTTCTCGCCACAAATTCCTGAAGTATATATTATATTATATTGGGATGGTGAACCTTCAACCTGTGGTCCAAATGCACTTTGTGGAGGGCTCCCACCCAGTTTGCAGTTTTGCTTCTCCTTTCTTTTCCTCCCCCCTCCCCACCCAGCAAGTTCCTGGAGGGGAAGAACAGATAGCTCTGTTCCTCCATTGGAGCCTGATGCATTTCTGTGAGAGCTTCTGAAAAAGGAAAGCCAGAGAGAGGAAGAGATTTGCTCTGAGCCGTGGTGAAGTGTGGCTACCAGTCCTGCTGATCAGCACCACACAGCTCCTTCTTTCCCACTGCTCAGCTACTGCCTGCAGATCAACCCAGAAGGAAGCTTACCTGGAAGGAAGGGTTTTAAACCCTTCTAGTTTTTATGTCAAATGGTTTTTGGATATGTGAATGCATACAAATGGGTCATCCTCACCTACTTTTGGCTCTGGTCTACTCACCATCACCATACACAGATGATTCCCCACCTATACTTTAGATCTAGGATTATTTGAGGAACTGTTCAACTATTAAGTGCTTTTTCAAGAGATTTTGCTTATGTAGTTTAAGTTATTTATGCAATTTATTTTGTGTATTACTACTACTACTACTACTACTACTTTGGGTGAGACATGTTTTAAGTCAGATGTCACACTTCAGTTTGTTTTCGATTATTTTGTTTTACAAGAAGAACCATGATATCTCATCAACTGGAGACGGGTGCAAGACATATACTAAGAGGACAAAGGTTTGTTTTGAATTCTAGAACGGATCTAAGCTCACAGTCTGTTCCTAGTTACCCTAGGCTTTCCTCATTTCGGCTGTCCAATTTAATGTGTGTGTCATTTCGTTGTTGATATTATTAGAACAACGGTGAGTCTGAAATGCTGAGGCACTGAAAAACACTTGAAGATATACTAGTAGAATGGGCTCAATCTTCTGCTCACCTTGCCTAGGGTGCATATCCAGTTCATCTGGGGCACCATTGGCCTTCACTACCACTCACTGTGATAAGAAAGTATGTCTCAGGAACATACACAGCATCTTGGATGTGCCACAGCTCAGTACTTTGCAATAAGGAAGTCTCAGGTTCAATCCCTGGCATCTCTAGGTAGGGATAGTAATATCCCTTGCCTGAAACCATGGAGAGCTACTGCCAGTCAGAACAGACAATACTGTGGTAGATGGACCAGTGGTCTGACTGTGTATAAGGCAGCTTCCTATACCGTATTCTATTTTGTTTGGCTTAAGTAATGCAAATTTCTTATCCTGTATGATACTGAGAGAGTAATGTGTCTAAAAAAGCATATATCCTATAAGCAGATGTACAGTTGAGTTGAATTCTATCTGCCAGACTCTCATCCTTGTACATACTGTACTGTACTCAAGTTAACAACTTTGATCTTCTATAAAATACAAAACAACAGAGCTCCCTCTAGCAGTGATTAGCTGAAATATTTGAGTGACCTAGTTTATCAGTCTGAATGCTGCTGCTGCTTCTTCATTAAGTAAGTATGAGCTGTCCAAGTTCAAATGCTTTTTGGAGTTCTCTGAAAAAGAGCTGAACTTTTTATGCTTTATGGTGGCAGAACAAATATCTGCCATGAGGGGATTGCTAGTTAGGCAAAATAATACACCTGAGCAGAGTATTGACAGCTTCAGGATGAAGGACCTAGATTGCAGCACTTGCAGAGATAACTAGGCCAGAACTTAAAATGTGCACCAAATGCACTATTTGTTGAAACACAGCTTCCTAAACATCTGTTACCAGACACCTATATGCAGTACTAATTGCGGAGGGAAAACATTTATCTTTGCATCAAAGAGCACTTTCAAAACTCACTGGACCAATTTATATTTACAGGATCAGGAAGAAAGGAAGCCTGGTAGTAATTACAGACAACACAAATCCTGGTTCTTTGCAAGTGCAGCTAACAGCTTAACCTTTGTGTTTTACATGGCTCTTCCAAAGTTATACCTCGTCTATGAAAATGAGATTGTGAAGTTGGTTTTCTTTTCAAACTTTTAAAGATTTTTTCAGTTTCAACAGCAGGCCCATGAGCTTCTCTACACTGCTGCTACTTGGGCAAAGATATACCTCTTTTCCTGAGAAATTAACATGTGTAGTATTGGGGAGAGATGTTTTTGTGTGTGGCTGCTGACTTATTGGACGAATCAGTTTTCTTTTACTGACACAAAGATCCATTTGTCCCTATCAACACTATTACCATAAAGTATCATGACTAAACCTAAAATAAACAGTATGTAGTCTGTTTACTCCAAGGTAAATTCCAACGAATTCAATAGGATTTACTCCTTTCTAAATTTTGTGCATGTAGCTTAAGATCAGATAATTAAAATAGTCTAATGTACCTTTTATTTCCTCTAGTAATTTCACAAGTTACACTTTCAAGGGCAACTTTGCCATTGTGAACACTGTAAAAATTAGTAATTAGATCTACAATTCCGTGCTCCCGAAGCTGGCTTAAAAAACCGGTAACATAAACGTACAGAAAATAATCATGACCGCTAAAATGGACCCTGCTGAAATAGAAGTCCTCTCCCTTCTTCCTGGAGTGCGGGTTAGCTGTTTACTTAACAATGATGAAATGCACTCTGTATGTGCTCAGAGACTTTATCACCAAATGCTGCTTTTTTATTTTCCGGGATTCAAACTTACAACTAAAAATAGGTTCCAAAATAACCCCTAAGGCTAAGCCACAGCAAAAAGCTGAACGACGACTGTCTTTCGTCCCTGGTGGCAGCGACGCCGCCGCCGCCGCCTCCTCCTCCTCTCAGAAGTAAACGGACAGTCCACGTGATTAGGCCCGCACTGCGTGACTCTTTGCACGCTCCTCTCCCTCAAGAACTACCCGGAGCCCGAACGAAAACTTGCTTTCCCAGCAAGCTGTGCGAAGCCGAGCATGCGCTTAGTCCCCGAAAACTACAGCTCCCGGCGTGCCCGCCCGGACCACAATTCCCAGGGGGTACCAGGCGGCGCCTGCGCGGTGGCAGCTGGCGCTCGGGCCATTTAAATGTGTGTGAGGGAGACGGTGAAATGGCTGCGCAGGTCGCTGCAGTGCGCGCCGTGTCCCGGGGCGCGGAAGAGACGCCTTCGCTCCCACTTGGCGACCGGCCGGGCAGACCCAGGGGAGGGGGGAGGAAGCGGAAAGGCCCGCCGGGGGAGCTCGGAGGGTGCAAGAGGGCCAAGCTGAGCCAGCAGCCGCTCGTGGTGGGGCCCGCTCAGGCGGAGCCGCCGCCGCCGCTGCCACCGGCCGCCGTCCCCGGCCTGTCGGCGGCGCCCTCCGTAGCGTCCACCGCAGCGGGGCTCTTCACTTTCTCCCCGCTCAGCCTCCCCGCGCAGGCCCCGCGCTGCGAGCGGCGGCATCACCACCGGCACCGGCACCGCCCGGACAGCGCCGACTGCGAGCCCGGCCGCTCCTCCGGGGGGAAGCTGCACAAGGGGAGGCGGGGAAGCTCCGGCGACGGCGCCGTCGGGCGGCCCAGCAAACGAGGTGAGCGGCGGGGCTGGTAGGGGGCGGGCGCCCGTCGGTCCCCCTGGGTCGAGTCTCCCTTCCGGGTCGGGGTCCTTGCCCGGCAGGTAGTCGCGCGCCCCACGCCCCTCGGTCTGTGGCGCCCCACGCCGGAGGTTAGCGACACCCCCCTGCTGCCCTTCAGCGCATCTGCCAGGTCCGGTTCCTGGAGGCCAGAGCGGGGGAAATGCATCGCTGTGCGTCGCTTGGCTATTAGATTCTACATGCTCAAATCCGCGGCGGGATAGTGGGCCCAGTCAAAGGCAGAGGTCGCTGCATTTGGTTCTGGCGGCGGAGGGTGCCCGTTCGAGCTGCCAGGTGGGGTGGCGGAGTTTGCTTCTTGTATACCTGTTGGAGGGCTTCACCTTCGTTTGTCAGTTGGCTAGCGACAGGCTGGCTTGCTAAGGCGCGCCTGGCCCTGTCAGAGTTCCTTCTTGCCTTTTAAATGCTTGTGCTTGTCATTCCTCAGCTGCATTTCTTCACTACGTATTTAAGTTAATCTCTTGCTTTCCTCCAGATGTTGCATAGTGATATGTTTAGTTAGCTGCCCCTTTTGTTAAGGGTTAAAGGGTGAGTTCATTCCCTCTTGACAGTGTCTTATCTTTATGCTTGCTCCTGATTTCAATTATGCAGTAGGATAGTAGCAGTGGGATTGCTCTATGCAGTGTGTTTCCTCAGTCTTGTGGAAATAGAACTTAAACAAAGATAAAAGTGAACTTTTTAAAAAGTGCCGGTGTGGCATAATGGTTAGAGTATGATCTGGGAGATCAGGGTTTGAATCCCACTCAGCCATGAAGCTCACTGGGTGACCTTGGGCTGATCATCATCTGTTAGCCTATGCTACCTCACAGGGTATGGAGGATGAAATGGGGAGGATGAGAACCATGTACAACAACACACACACACACACACTTAAGAAACATGGTTCTTAAGAGGACTGAACACTCATTAACCCAAGAAGTCCAACAAGTACATATATTGGTACAAAATGGCTGTTTTTGGACTAGTGTTAGTGGGGTAGGTGTCCAGAACATAATATTGCAATATTATTTTTACACTTACAAAAAGTCTTGATCTGAACATTTTTTTTTGATTCATTGAACAGTTTTTCTAGTTTTGCAACTTTTTAAAAAGTCAGTAGCTTTTAAAAAGTTTAATTAGGGATGCTGCATATTAAAGTATTACATGCTTGTTGGGAGCATAAACATGTTATTGTGCAGGCTTCTGAAACTTTCATGTGAGCACAACTGAGTCTTTTGGAATGCTTAAAGTGTATATATTTAATGTCTCTAACTCTTACAATATTTTTCCTTTTAAAAAAGAGATGAGTGGGTTTTTTAACTGCCCTGCTTCTAGATAGCTTGCCCTCTTTTAGACAGTTGGCTATTCTTCAGAAGTCTGTGGTACTAACAGTTGCATATCTAGTTTTGGAATTGCTTTAGTAGAAACTTTTGATCTCTTCAGTACATGTGATCTGCTTGTGACATGTTTGTGAGTATCTCTGAAAAATCCCTGCGTATCTAATAGAATAGTGGGGCCTAATGCTAGTAGTACAATTCTAGCGACTGAAGGTAGCCATGGTGCTGTATCACTTTAGGCAGAATTTGTTTAACACTCCTATACATGTTTACTCAGATGTATGATCCAGTTGTTCAGTAGGATTCACTTTTGTGCTTAGTATTGCAGTCTAAGGATAGCTACCAAATCTCAAACAGAAACTTGAGATTTCTAGTTTGGAATACAGCGTGGTAGTTACTAACCATATTATGACACTAATGACATATTGATAAATGAAACAGTAGCAGACCTATTATTATAGGACACTATAGTATTGTAGTGTAATGATGACTTTTAACCTAGGCAGTTGTCAGCTATGCTGTGACATTTATTATAGACATGGAGGCAAAAACCTTCTTTGTTCTTTTTACTTGCTAATGAAGCAACACCATATTTAAGCATATAAGATTTGGATAAATGAACACTTCAACAGTAAGTCTGTTAAATATCACGATGGCAGAAGAACAATTTCACTTGATGCCTATCAGTGCTGGTATCAAGAAAATTTATTGTAGGCCTGTTCTTCAGGAGAATATTTGAGTGACCAAGATTCTTGCTATGTTAAGAACATATTATGAAGAAGATTTTGAAACTTGAAACACTTGTGTACAGTGAACAGTTAAAGAAAGTCAGTACTAATGTAAGGTAAGGCTGTTTCCATTTATTTTTCCTGTAGTGAACAGGATATAATCCACAAATTTTGCTTGCTGTATACTAGACTGAGAATATTTTAATTATTGCTCTCCTGTGATTTATTTAGTCGGACAAACCAATGTGGAATAACATCAGTAGTGAAATCCCACTTGTGGCTTGCAAGTAGTATTTGGGTAACTGTGTAAGTGCACAATTAGACCTCTTAGTTTATGTGTCAAAAGTAGCGGGGGGGGGGAATGAAATTCATCACATTAGTTCCTTAGAACTCTGCTTAATGTGTTTAGAATTACCTTTCAGTGAAAAATTAGAATCCCTCATATTCACTGTGGTTAGAATGCACTTACTATGAAAAAGAAGCATTGTAATGCCTACTGAACTTAGTTGAAACTGTTATTCAGAGGACATTTTTCAGTGAAAAAGAGAGAGAAGAGCCTAATATTTTGCTCTATTGATGTGTGTTACTTAGGCCTTTGGCTGAAGAAAAACACTTCCACTTCCTTGATGACAGAGTTATATAATAAAACCTTTTTATTTTTGTACCATCACTTTGAATGCTACACACAGTCTCGCCTTTGTTTGCTAAAGATTTTTAAAGCACAGGCTCTTTTCATGCAAAGGTAATTGATCTGTAGTAGGGCTACCTTGTCCTAGTTCTGCATTTACTGATAATTATGGCTCATTCTATAATACATGGCAGCAAGCCCAAGTTGGGTGTCATGTACATTCAACAGTCCTGGCTCTTGTGTGTACCTTCATAACACACTACTTTTTATATAACCACTCAGAAACGCTTGTGGCCAATCGTAAGAATGACAAGAACTGGATTATACCAGAGGTGCAGATAGTTTCTCTTCTGAGAAGGCTAAGAAGCAGCTGTTCCTGAGCGAACAGCAGATGAAGTAGCTGGGTGCCAGAAATAATAGTGATTTCATGGCAGTACATAAGCCTTCCAAACCAATAGCTATAGTTAAAGAACATGGAAAAAGTGCTGTCAACTTCACTAGTGCAACCTTCTGTTACCTCAAAGACCAGAATATTCCCTGATGTAGGGTTTTATGAAAGTACTAGTAGTTTAGTCTTCTCTAATTTGGTGGAAATACGGTATATAGTTGGAAACCTTTTTGAGAACAGAAAAACCAGGACACTTATGTTAAGAATCAAGATGAAAGATGAGTCTGTATAGAATCCTTTCTCAAAGAGTTTGGGGTGTGGGTGTGTACCATTTATTTGTGGAATTCTAAGGTGGTGGACAGGGACACGGGTGGCGCTGTGGGTAAAACCTCAGTGCCTAGGACTTGCCGATCGCATGGTCGGCGGTTCGAATCCCCGCGGCGGGGTGCACTCCCGTCGTTCGGTCCCAGCGCCTGCCAACCTAGCAGTTCGAAAGCACCCCTGGGTGCAAGTAGATAAATAGGGACCGCTTACCAGCGGGAAGGTAAACGGTGTTCCGTGTGCTGTGCTGGCTCGCCAGATACAGCTTGTCACGCTGGCCACGTGACCCGGAAGTGTCTGCGGACAGCGCTGGCTCCCGGCCTATAGAGTGAGATGAGCGCACAACCCTAGAGTCTGTCAAGACTGGCCCGTACGGGCAGGGGTACCTTTACCTTTACCTTTTAAGGTGGTGGACCTTCTTGAGAGCAGAGGGAAGAAGAGTAGGCATGTATCAAAACTATTTGCTGTTACCTGATGCATTACTTGTAGATTACTTTTACACATAGTATGAGTCACCAGATGACCAATGAGCCACCAGATAAGGTTTCTACCATATAGTTGCCTAGTTCTGTATTACTAAAATGACAGTATAATTTTAAATGCAGTACAATGCTGAACATATTCCTGCCACACATTCTTACATGTAGTAAAAGTTCAGTAATTTACTAAATGGAGAGGTTTTCCTACATGGTTCCTTGGATGCCTATATTCATGCAACTTCATACAGTTTCCTGGAACTGGAAAAGCTTGGGCGCTATGGAATTGGTGTCTCCATGGAAGCCTGTACCAGTAGTTTGTAGTCAGTTACAGGCAGTAAAGCAGTAATGTATCAAGCACCCCTACACCTGGCTTTTTGTGATATGGGGAATAAATATATACTTATAAGATACTTGCCAAATATGGCAAACTTTGGCTGTGTATGAAATAGCTGCCATGAAGTTTGTAAAGATCAACACACTAGTGGAGTGTAGCTCAGTGGGTAGAACATATGCTTTGCATGCAAAAGGTTCCAGGTGCAAGCTCTGGCTTCTTCAAGGAGGGAATGTTCCCCGTCTGAAACCTTGAGGAGCTGCTACTAGTCGGTGTAGACAATATGGAGACCTGAATGGACCAATAGTTTGACTTTGTGTAAGGCAGATTCTAATGTCCCATCATCCTGTGACTTCAAATGCAATAGACAATATGTTCTATGGGACTAGTGAAATCCTAGATGTCTGGATTTCCTAAAACAAATAGTAACTTCTAGTAAGGTTGAAAAACTTTTCCAGTAATGTCAGAACAGTGTGTGAACACTTTTTGAACACTTTTTGAAAATGTCAGTAGTGGCTAAGTTGAACTGGTTTACATGTAATGCTAAACCATAATGTAGTGCTACATGAATGAGTGACCATGAGTGAAGCATCAAGTTTATGTTCACCCTCCCCTCCTGCGAGACTAGGAAGACAATTTATGCTAAGTTTACTTTCAGTTTTAAATATTGGCATAGCATTATCTGCTAACATGGCTTACTACAAACAAATTGTTTGCCAGCTTCAAACCATGGACAGCACAGGAAGGGG